ATATTTATTCACCCAAACTATATTTGGTATCAATGTTATACCTAACACCTTGGCTTATTCCTGCCTAAATTCCCTTCCACCCAATTTGCTGTAACACTCGCAACAGGGAAGGATACTAAGGGGCATCATCTCTCCGAAACTCAAGACACTTCTAGTTATGAACAAACAACAGACTTTTGTTTCCCTTGTTTAGAGAACCAAAAGTTGAGAACAGCCTTTTCCATCTCATTGCACTAAACTAATGTTTCCCACCTTTGCAGACTTCAAACCCCAGAATTCCATAGCCAGCGTGGCTGTTGATGAGAATTCTGGGAGTTGAAGTCCGCATCCCTGGAAGTTGCCACGGGTAGGAAACATTGTATCAAACAATGGTTGCTTTCAAGTAATCTTTACACCTCACTTTAAAATTCTCTCCTTTTTTATTTCTTCAGGTTGCTTTGCTAAACTAGTCCATTTGTTTTCTTTTCCCTAGCTATTCCTTCTAGGCTTGGTCTCTAAATCTGCATGCATGTGAATTTGCATCTATGGCCAAATATGTTTAATATAAGTTTTGTTTCTTCCCTTCATCTCTAAGAGGGTGATACCCTTTCCTTTAATCCAATTTCCTTACAGCCCCCCCTCACCTTTGTCTCATAAGAAGCTCCTTATTTCATTTTATGATTTAATTACCTTATTGCTCTTCATTTAACTTTACATGCTCTTTTCTACCTGTAAGTCATGTTCACTGAGATTCAAGTTTCTTCATTGCTTATCATGGCTTATTACCACATGAGCTTCACTGATTTACCTATCTTATCAGCGACCCCTTGGGTTACATAAAAGTGGTTGCTGGATATTTATTTAATGTTTCAGTTGAGCTTGTATGCTCCCAATTGCTCACTTTTTGAAAGGGATAATCAGGTTTGGAGGGAAGCAGAATAGCAATTAAAAGCACATTACAGATGTAGTACCTAGGACAGGGGTCCCCAAACATGGCAACTTTTAGACTTGTGGACTTCCCAGAATTCTGGGAGTTGAAGTCCACAAGTCTTAAAGTTGCCAAGTTTGGAGACCTCTGACCTAAGAGAACAAGAAGATTGTCAAATGCATTTGTTGCTAGCTGGAGGAGTGATTCCAGTGCTCTGATTCTACTAAATCAGTAGAAGCTAATATATTTTAAAAATGTGTCTGCTCTTGTACAATCAAAATCCAATCTAATATCCAATCAATGTGTTAATGTTGTGGGACTTATCTTTACCACTAGTTCTCTGGGAAATTGCACAGGTAGTCCTTGCCTAGTGATTGCCTTAGACAGTGACCATCTGCATTTATGATGGTGATGAAAAAAGCAACTTTGCTACCAATGCCCACATATATGACACATGTTTTTCCTCCAACCCACCTCCAGAATAAAGAGATTGCCTAAACAAGCTATCTCTTCCTGAGCTTTTTTCTACAGTGCAGTGCATCCCTAAAAAATGCTCAAGCAAATTAACAAGCTCACCTGTGACCTTAATGGATTAGTATTCTTCTAAGGCTTGCATAGCTGCCTGACACTGATAAGACTCTAATCACTTTCATGCTAAAGTCTTTTGTTTGCCTCCTAAGCTCCCTGCTTTCAACTGTAGGCCCCATTCCTTTAGATGTATACTATATTCCTCATTGCTTGCTTGCCTACTCTCTTGTAATCCTTTCCCTCCAATGAATGTAAATACAAACATTAATTTTCTTCTTGCTAATTATCTCAGTGCCAGGTGAGCATTTCAAGGGGTGGGAGAATTGGATAAAAGGACTATAAGATTTATCCGGCTTCCTTGTGAATTGAGTTCCAGGAACCTACTCCACCATTTAGCTTTACCTGGCTATTTAGAGCTGATGCAGTAAAACAAAGGAAAGTTGAGGTAAAATTTTGAGCACAGTTGTGGTCATGTGATTATTCACTCAGCAACCACTTCCCAGTTGTCTCAATTCCTGTTGTGGTTGCAAAATGAGGACTACCTATTATAGCACCAGTATTAATCATCTTCCTCCAATAAATTATTTTGGGTAAACTGTGTACATATGCTTTCTTTTCAGATATGCATTGGTTAAAGATTCTTGCAGGTTCCTTTGGCAGGTTGGGAATTACTATGGCTTTTGAAATGGTCTGCTTTGTCAATGCTGAATTGTACCCAACATTTCTTAGGTAGGTGCTGCTTCAAGGAATTAAAGTAGAAATTCTGTATCTTTGATTACTATCAACTATCACCAGTTTTGATCCCTCTGAATTAACACTGTAAATAGAATTAGCATGGCAAGCCAGAGTGGAGAAACTTTGGAGATAAGGCAGGACAAAACCAATGGCATCTCCTTTTCCATGAGTAAAAGCCAACTAAGGGAATCTTTGTTCAATACAAGGGATGAGATGGTGGCCTTTACCACATCTAAGGAAGGAACCTTGGTCTCACCAGGAGGGAAATAAACAAGGTGGTGGCTAGAAATAGTGGCAGTTTTGAACTGGAACACTATAGAAGGGAATATAACAGTCACTCCATGGGATGGCTTGGAGAACCTGAAACACATCAGCTGACTGTGCTGCCTTCTTCATGAATCTGTTTCCTCCCTGCTTTGTATCCATATTTGTCAATAAGCCTAGGACGTCAGATTTGCAGTTGTCCTGGATGTTCCTATTAAAAACAAAAAAAATCAGCATAAACCCCAAACTAGAGAGATCTGCCACTTTTGCTTTTCCTCATGACTGATTTTTAGTAATATTTCTTTCCATTCTGTTCAGAAAGATATTAATTTCTTATAAAAAATATATCAAAAAAGGGTTTTTTTAAAACTTTTATGCTCTAGACAGACTTAATTAATGACAGCTGTTTCCAGTATAGAAGTGATCACACAAAAATAGCTTGTCACATAACTGTGAAAAGCTTTATTTCAGGACTATAAACAGGAATTGAACTTCAGGCCTTTAAGAATTACGTATCTAATGTTCGAAATAAAATCTATTAGTTTTCTTTTCACCCACTTTCAATTCCTTTAAATTTGAACCTAAAGTTTTAATTTTGTAAAACAATGTCTCATGCACCTACCTCTATGGTGGACATCTCATTATTTAGAGAATCAGGTGATCTTAAAATCAGATCTCCCCCAGACTTTTTGCAAGACATATGATGAATTCAGTGGGGAAAAATTTCCTCAGTTCTCAGTAATGGTCTACCATTGCAACCACCCAACAAACTTATACGCTTATCTGGAGCTCAGAGGTATTCTAGGGAATAAAAATGATATTAAGGTTTGGCTCTTGGCTATCTAATAAGACAATTTCTCATTTATTCATTTCTTTTATATGTATGTATGTATGTATGTATGTATGTATGTATGTATGTATGTATGTATGTATATATATATAGCATTGAAGTGTTTCAATCTGCTCTTTCTGTCTGTCTTTCAGAAACCTTGGCTTGATGGTATGTTCTTCTCTGTGTGATTTTGGTGGAATCATATCCCCATTTATAGTCTACAGATTGGCAGAGATCTGGCATGAACTACCTCTTGTAGTCTTCAGTAAGTAAGATTCTACCTGTGGCAGCTACAGCTCATTAATGCTCAATCATGCCCTTTTGTATTCATCCAGGGATTCAGTCCAACTGAACCTAACTGGACTTAGATCTATATAGATCCGTATCGTACAATAAATTGTACAATACAGAATATGCAGGCAAGATGCGCTGCTTGTGATTACAGATTTGAATGCCAAAATGGGAAACACAGAAGAGGAAAATATAGTTTGACTACATGGTTTAGGAAACCAAAATTTTATCGATCTCTGTCACTCCAAAGACATAGCCCACATGGTCCTCAAATAATCAGAATGTCTTTATGCATGGACACTACCAAATGGAGTATATAGAAATCAAATTAATTAATAGGAAATGGAGGAGTTCATTTATGGCATAAAGATTTGGCCAGGTGCTGACTCTGAAACAGATCACAAACTGCTCCTGTGCAAATTTCAAGTTAAGCTAAAGAAGAAGAAAGACAGTCAGTTTCCATGATATGATCTTGAACATATACCAACCAGAGGTGGTATTCAGCAGGTTCTAACCAGTTCTGGAGAACTGGTAGTGGAAATTTTGAGTAGTTCAGAGAACCGGCAAATACTACCTCTGACTGACCCTTCCCCCATCTCTTCACTGCCTCCTGAGTCCCAGCTGATCGGCTGGGTCTTCTTTTGCTGCCCTGCACAGGAGAATGGAGCTGGAAAGCAGGTTAGTGGGGTGGGGAGGGAATGGGGATTTTTCAGTATCCTTCCCTGCCATGCCCACCAAGCTACGCCCACAGAACTGGTAGTAAAAAAATTTGAATCCCACCACTGATACCAACCATTGTCAAGGAGAACATCAGGAGTCATTTTGAAATCCTGTACTCATTGATAGAGAACCAAAAGAATTGTGGAATGGAAATTGTCAAGAAGAGAAGAGAAACCAAATCCAAGCAAGAGAAAAACCTCAGAAAGGAATGTCTATTAAGATTCTCAGTCATCCTGGTCATGGTTGTCCCAAAGGTGCTTTTTTTCAAGAGGCAGCTGGACTTTCTTTTTTTTTTTTCTTTTGAAGATGTTTTGCTTCTCATCCAAGAAGCTTCTTCAGCTCTTTCTTTCCAAGCTGAAGAAGCTTCTTGGATGAGAAGCGAAATGTCTTCATAGAAAAACCAGAAAGTCCAGTTGCCTCTTGAAAAAAAAGCACCTTTGGGACTCAAAAACGAACTTAATAAAGTTATATCAGAGAGCTGTTAATTAACATCCCAGGTACAGATGCCAAAATCCATGGTAATTTAGAAGATATTACCTATGTACAAGAATCTCAAGTACCAGAATGTGACATTAGATCAGCACTCTGATCATTACCAATTCAGGATGGAATGGAAGAAGGATGGAAACAGACATGAAAAAAAAAGACATTTGAACTAGTTCCAACCTTGAATTGAATGAATTATTCCAATGGACATATTGTAATGTAAGCAATTCAAAGGAGATCAAACAAAGATGGAAGGAGTATATGAAGCACTGTACAGTATAAATATCAATATCCAAGATTTCTTAAAAGATATTCCCAATTTAAAGAATTTCTAGTCTTAGAAGGCGAACTTAGGGATCAGCATTCTGGTCATTACCAATTCAGAAAGCTATAGGAAGTGATGGAATGTACACTGAAATATGACAAGTAACAGAAAAAGAAAATTTACAAAGTAATAACCAAAAGCCAATATGGGTGTGTTAAAAACAGATCATGCCAGACTAATCTTATTGCATTCTTTGACAAAGTGACAAAATTAGTGGACCAGAGGAACGCTGTCGATATAATTTACTTGGACTTCAGTAAGGTATTTGATGAAGTAGACTATAATCTACCACTAGATAAAGTAGAAAAATGTGGGTTACACAGCCTCATGGATTCGTAACTGGCTGACCAACCGCACTCAGTGTGTAGCCCTCAATAGAACTGCATCTGGATGGAGGAAAGTATGCAGTGAACTATCTCAAGACTCTTGAAAAAGGCCCAGTACTCTTCAACATCTTCATTAATGTCTTGGACAAGGGGATAGATGAGGAACTCATCAAATTTGTAGACAACACCAAGCTGGCAGGAATAGCTAACACTCCAGAAGATAGGCTTAAGATACAGAAGGATCTTGATAGACTTGAACATTGGGCACTATCTAACAAAATGAAATTTAATGGTGAAAAAAGTAAGATTCTACATTTAGGCAAGAAAAATCAAATGCATAGATACAGTATATGTAGTACCTGGCTCAGTAGTAGTAACTGTGAGAGGGATCTCGGAGTCCTAGTGGACAACCATTTAAATATGAGTCCGCAGTGTGCAGCAGCTGCCAAAAAAGCCAACACAATCCTAGGTTGCATAAACAGAGGGAGAGAATCAAGATCACATGAAATGTTAATACCTCCAGAAGACCTCCAAGGTCCTTTCTATTCTATTCTAAATTAGTAAAAGTTCTAACCAATCTATGCTAGCAAGTCTGGAATACAACATATTGGCCAACAGACTGGAAGAGGTCAATCTATATTCCAATACCAAAAAAGAAAACTTAATAGAGTGTGCAAACAAACATATGATACCCCTAGTTTCACATGCTAGCAAAATAATGCTTAGAATCATTAAACATAAATTAGGGCTGTATATGAAAAAAGAAATGCCAGATGTTCAAGCTAGGTCATTAGACTTTCAAAGGGACCCATGGCATGACAAAGTTAAGAATCCCTATTTTTAATATGGGTAATCCTTGACTTACGACCACAATTGAGCCCAGAATTTATGTTGCTAAGTGAGAAATTTGTTAAGTAAGTTTTGCCCCGTTTTACGATTTTTCTTGCCACATTTGTTAAGTGAATCACTGCAGTTGTTAAATTAGTAACTGGTTGTTAAGTGAATCTGGCTTCCCCATTGATTTTGCTTGTCAGAAGGTCACGAAAGGGGATCCCATGCCATAAATGTGAGTCAGTTTACATTTTACATTGCATTCAAATGCAAATCACGTCACCATGGGGATGCTGCAACAGTCATAAGTGTGAAAAATGGCCACAAGTCACTTTTTCAGTGCTGTTGTAAATTTGAAGAGTCATTAAACAGACTCTTGTAAGTAGAAGACTTCCTGTTACCAATAATTTCGATGCAGCAAAAGTAAAAAATCCACAATAACACGATTGTGTGCCCATCTTGACAATATGTCATCATTTGGTTTCTGATGTTATTTTCCTTATGTTTTATTTGCAGCTGTCATAGGGTTCATAGCTTCTGGATCAGTGCTGCTTTTGCCTGAGACCAAAGGGAGCACCTTGCCCGAGACCATTGATGACATAGAAAACCTCCACAAACCTGCATTAAACAATCAATCCTGAAGCAAATTCAAGGTTAAATATTTTTGAAATGTGTGTGCTCAGCTATGGTCCATAAAAAGTCCAGACCTACTCACTAACTAATAAAAACATTACACTATAGAGTCTTTCATTTGGACAGGTATTTTATACACACACAAAACACTCATTTGTTCCACATGTGCCTGTGTTAAACTGACAAACATTGTCAATATAGCAAACGCAGCAGGTAAACAGTAAAAATAAGCAGAGGGCAGTGAAAATAATACTTTTTACCTGATATTTAAACTTTGTGTTATGACTGGAGGTTCTAGATTTGTTAAAACACTATTCCTCCTTTTTATTTTAACTTTTGCGATTTCATTTTAGTTTTCTATGCATATATGTATGCTGTAAATCTTCTGTAGTGCTCAGAACCAAGATAAACATCCTTTTGCAGGTAAGAGACCAATACATAAATAGAAATTTTTATATTCTCCTGTTGGTTGCAGCAAAGTTGAAAAATAGGCAGAGGGGTTAACATTGGTGCAAAGCATCAAGAGTTTGCCAGGACAAGTAAGGAAATGAATATGGGTGTTTTGGTTCTGGCTGTGCAGGCCTAGAACTGGGAAGGAGTCAGATGTAGAGGAATGATCACCCTTGCTAAGATAAACAGAGATTAAGAAAAAGCAATAAAAGGCTTCTCATTGGATAACTTTGAATCAGGAAGTCGACGTGGGAGATGTCTAGAAGGAAATGAAGGTTTGAGAATGGAGAGAAAGAAACAGAATCCAGAAGGATTGGGTGGCTGGGTGGGGGAACAAGCTTGGATGCACATACCAATCTATCCCTGATTCACAAAAATGGGTGAATCAAGGACAGAAAAAGAAACAGAATATTTGTTAAAAAGAAAAAAGATAACATAAACAGCTAAAGGGAATATGAGCCAAGTCTTAAGATAGGGAAAAAGGCCATCCATGAGTAGATAAGAGTTAAAGGAGAGAGGCAGCAAAAACTACTTTTCTCCCTGTAGTTTTTTTGTCTAGCAGATTTCCACTCATGCAACCAATAAAGGTAGAGAGGTGCCAAGCGTGCAAAGATTTGCAAGTACAGCACCAGCTTAGGCAATGCAGAAAGGCAGAGGCATCTGTTGGGGGAAACTGCACAGCAGATCAATCAGCTGTGGAAGGATGGAAGCTCGGAGGACCAAGAGGAAGAACAGATAGGATTCAGATGGGCCAGACAGGAAGAAATTTACAGAATAACATAGTTGGAAGGGACCTTGGAGGTCTTCTAGTCCAACTCCCTGATCAAGTAGGAGTCCCTATACCAGTGGTGGCTAACCTTTTTGGGCTCCTGTGCCAAAAATTGCGTGTGCGCGCCAGCACACACGCACACACTCACGTGCCAGCACCCAGAATGCAATGCACGAACCCCCCCTCCACACACCACCTGTGCATGCGTGCACAATCCCCCCCCGCCACCCCCTTACCTGCATTGCGCCTCACAGCTGATTTTTCGGCTGGTTTGAGGCCTTTTTCGGCCTCCCAGAGGCTTGGAAAAAGTCTCTGCAAGGCTTTTCAGGCCTGGGAGGCTAAAAAAAGGCCTCAAACTAACCAGGGAAAAAAACAGCTGTGAGGCGCGCGCATGCGGAGTGAGATAAGTTTGCCTGCGGCTCACGTGCCAGCACAAATGGCTCTGCGTGCCACTTGTGGCACGTGTGCCATAGGTTCACCATCACGGCCCTATACCATCAATCTCTTCTTAAAAAGTCCCAGTGATGGAAGCACTCACAACTTCTGAAGGCAAGCTGTTCCACTGATTAATTGGGTGGGTGAGTGGGATTAAGCAGCCTGGAAGAGAGTGGGAGGACTGCCCCATGAAATTTTTGCAGAGATAATAACTCTTTGATCATTTTATGAGGTAGGAGGGAGAGTTAGATTGTTTAAATATGCACTGTGCCTTGGATGTGCTGCATGTTGAAGGCACTTGCTCAGTATATGTATGTACTGTATGGATGAAGGAACTGCTGGCTCTGAACAAGCTCCTGTGTGGAAAAGCACCCCGTTGAGCTCAGTACCTTATTTTTATTTAAAATTAGTCCTGTGACTATTTGATACTGTCTGTATATCTGTATGCTTACTGCTTTTCTATTCAAGAGGTTGGAAATATTTCCCCCCCTTATTGGATAGCCCAGGGGGGAGGTAGGAAATCTTTCCTTGGAGTCTCCTTACTGATAGAACAGGGGTGTTAAACTCAAGGCCATGGGCTGAACCCACCTGGCGGGGTGCTTAGATTTGGCCCGTGGAGTCACCCTGGAAACAGCAAATAGCCTATGGTGCCTCTGCCAGTGAAAATAGAGCTCATATTTCAACAATCAAAATGAATATATTACCCAGAATTTTATATTTGTTTCAAACAATTCCAATTAGGCTTGGAAAGGATTACTTTGAAGATTTAAATAAAATTGTCTTGAAATATATATGGCAAGGTAAGAAAGCGAGAATAAAGTTAAAACTTTTGCAAGATGCTAGAATTAGAGGAGGATTTGGTTTGCCTAACTGGGAGTCGTATTATCAAGCTACAAATCTGATGTGGGTTAAGGAATGGATAACACTAAGAAATACTAGATTGTTGACATTAGAAGGACATGATTTGTTGTTGAGGTGGCATGCTTTTTTATGGTATAAAGAAACTAAAACACAGGGGTACTTTAGAAGACATTATATACGGGAGTCTCTGTGGTTAAACTGGGAGAAGATTAAAAGACAATGTTATTTGAAAATTCCAGTCTGGCTATCGACTATTGAAGCGTTTTCTTATCCTATAATATACAAAAAGGAACAAACAGTTAGATATGGTGAAATATTGAATGAAAAGGGTGAACTCAAATCTATACAAAAACTAGAGGAACAAGGTATAAAGATGAATTGGTTTTCATATGCGCAAATACATTCAAGGTATGATAAAGATTCTAAAATGGAAGGTTTCTATGATAAATTGACTGATTTAGATAAGATTTTGACAGGTACTGATGAAAAGATGATTAAAAAATTGTATGGATATTTATTAGAAATTAAATTAGAAGAAGAACAAGTTAAAGAAACTATGATTGCTTGGGGGAAGAATTTTGGATTGATTTAGAGAAATGGCAAAAATTGTGGTCTCAAAATTATAAAATGACAATGTCAACAGCATATAAAGAAAATTTGTATAAGATGTTTTACAGGTGGCATTTCCCCCCTACAAGAATAGCAAGAATGTTCAAGAATAAATCCGAAAAATGCTGGAAATGTCATCAGACACCTGGCTCATATTACCATATGTGGTGGACTTGTGCGGATGCTAAAAAAATACTGGACTAAAATCCACATGTGGTTGGAAAAAATGACAAAAAAACATATAGACTTGAAACCAGAGATATTTTTATTGGGAATTTTACCTGAAATATATAGTAAAGACTTGAAATATCTGATTGTAAATGTATTAACAGCGACTAGGATTGTATTTGCCAAAAACTGGAAAAATGAGAAAACACCATCACAGGAGGAAATCATTAAGAAAATATTGGAATGTGCTGAAATGAGTAGATTGACATTTGAAATTAGAGAACAAGAGGATAAACAATTTTATAAAATTTGGGATCTATTCTATCAATGGTTAGACAATAAAATACAGTGATGAAATATGTAGACTTTTAGAAAATAATAAATATATAAAGATGTACTTCTTTCTTATTATATCTACAAAATGATTTTAGGATAGATTTGGGATGATAATATGAACTGTTATAAAACAAACAAAGTAAATTATGATTATCTTGTAAAACATGAATGAATAAAAGTATAGTCAAATGATTGATTAATAATGAAACTAAGGTATTTAATTTTTGATTGAAAATACGAGATTATATGCAATGTAATTGTAATTGAAGACTACGAAATGGAAGCACAAAACAATTTGTAAACCAACCGGCACACTGTATGTATACATATGGAAGATGGCTTGATGTTTTTATGTTTTGTTTGTTTATGTTTGTTTTTAAAAACCATTAAAAACTTAAATTAAAAAAAAGAAAAGAAAACAGAGCTCAGGAGGGCCACATGCAGCCATTTCAAGCTTTGTTTTCAGTCGTGACAGTCTCCTACAGCCCTCTGCCAGCAAGAATGGAGTTCGGGTGTGTGTGCAGGCCCCCCCCCCATAGCTCAATTTTCGCTGGCAGAGGGCCGCAGGACATCATCACAGCTGAAAACGGGGTTCAGGAGCCCATTTTCTCTGGTAAAGCATTCAGGTGACCACAGACGCCCTAATACAAGTGACATCCTGCTGGCCATTCTCCCTGGCCTCATCCACCCTGGCCCCTCGAGGTCAAACACAACCTTGATGTGGGCCTCAATGAAATCGAGTTTGACACCCCTATGATTGAAGATTCAGCAGCAGGTTTGATTATGGGAACTGTATTAGAATTAGTAGGATCTATGCTGTGAGGTTGGGGAATCAACTCCTTGGATTCAGGATCCGCAATTATATTAAAACAGGAGCCAGTTCTACTTCGTAAGCTTGGGGTTTTAATAATCTTTTATTTGTCCCTTCAATACAATGCATCTTCACTTCCCCTCTTACAAAGAATCTTCATTTTCTTCCTGGTGATCCATCAAATTTTCTGGATTTCAAATGTTGGTCTTCAGTTTTAATATGAGGTGAACCAAGAGATTTCTTCCTTTTAAAAATAAAATATTTATCTTCTGCCCCTGTAATTGCCTACTTCAAAGCACAGAATAGGAGCCGCTGAGCAAGATGCTGGTTTCAGGGGTATTTAGGAAAGGGGGGAAAGCATAGTTCACCGTAAACCTGCTCTCTGCACAACCTCAGCCATCTGCATCTGCTGCCGGCTAACCACAATATCTTTGGGTTACAAAACTGGCCATCCACTCACAGGATGAAATTAGGTTAATGATCTTGAGCCCCAGATTGCTCCTGAAATCTTGAGTAGTGTCCTTCTCGGGAAGCTTCCAAAACCTGTTATCAAACGATAATGTTTAACAGACAGAGGATCATATGATTAACTACAAGTCGTCCTTGCTTTGCAACTGCCTTTTTGAACAGCTGTTTGCAGTTATGATGGTAATGAAAAAGTAACTTTATGGTTAGTATTGTGTTCAAGCAGAAGTTCTCACTCTGGTCTGCACTTTGAGCAGGAGCCAGAACCATTCCCATTGGCTGGCTGGCTGACAGCTGAGTATAAAAGGGAGCTGTCAGATGGCATCAGCTGTTGCCTGTCAGCTAGCCACATGTGTTAGCTTGTGGCTGCCGCGGGTAACCTGTTCTTGTTAAAATAAACATGTTAGCTGTTTGAATGTTGCCTCACCTCCATTCCTTAAGTTGCTGATCTAACAGTTGGTCCTTGCATTTATGACTTTGTAAAGCAAGGGTGTCAAACTCAAGGCCTGCATGCTGGATCCGGCCTGCAGGGTGCTTAGATCTGGTCCATGGGGCCACCATGGAAACAGCAAAGGACCGGCCCGCAATACCTCTGCCAGTGAAAACAGAGCTTGGGAGGGCCGCATGTAGCCTGCCTGAGCTCGGTTTTCATCTGTGGCCGGCCCTCCCGAGCCCTGTTTCCACTGCAGAGTGCTTGGGCCATCACAGGCACCCTTGGTATGAGTGACATCCAACTGGCTACGCCCATCCTGGCCATGCCCCCCTCTCTGAGGTCAAACACAACCCTGATGCGGCCCTCAATGAAATCAAGTTTGACACCCCTGTTGTAAAGCAAAAGAAATTTAAAGTAAGAGCAAAAGCACTGCTGCAGTTTTAGTTAGTGATCGTTTTGCTGAAGAATTGAGTCACCAGTCCCAATCTTGGTTGCTAAACGAAGATTGCCTATACATAAACAGAATAAAATGAAACTGATGGATGTTTTGAGACTATGCAGTACTATTTGGTTAGTGTCCTCTAGTTTGTCTCCCCTGAGCCAAGGGAGATCCTTCTGTTGGTTCCTTCTGAAAACTTCTCACAGAGATCTGTATGTTATGTTATGTTATGTTATGTTATATTATGTTATGTTATGTTATGTTATGTTATATGTTATATTATATGTTAACAGCATTGTGTATTTGAAGAAATGTTCATGAAAATGCAAATACATTTGTGTGTGAGAAACAGAAAACAACAGCTGATAAATGAAACAGAACAAAATGTAAGGGAAAAAATAGGAACAGATTGAAATCAAGCTTTCAGACAATGTCAATTTATTGTATTTTATGTTACATTACACAAAAGTATCTCCATTTGAATGAGGGGTATCTCC